GGACCCCCCCACCCCCTAGAAGTAAAAAGGAAGAAAAAGGAAGAAGGAAAACGATAAGTAAAATAGGCAGGAGTAGTTGGTAAAGAAGAAGAAGTAGTAGTAGAGAAAGAAGTAAAAGAAGAAGTTGAGCGCAAACACGCATTGGCTAATATATTGACTTCAATCGGATTAGAGTTGTGAGAGACGTCGCAAGCTCCAAAACCCCTGGCGATGTTTTGTCAATAAAAAACAAGTTAACGCTTTGCAGACGAAAGCCACTGACTGCGTAATGCTCGTTCGTGAGCCATGTGCAAAAATGGGTAATACATAGCTCCAATATGATGTATACCGCAGTGAGGTGCGTGGCTAGAGCTGTGCACACAAAAATAGTACAACAATTGAGCAAGAGATTGGGACTTTCAAATTTAGTCAAAATGTCAATGGATTTGTTTCGAAAACAATTTTAACTGATTTAGATTGGAATATAAGCACTTTTTTGAACAATCTATAGAGAAGCTTTACGCTGATAGATGTCAACGTCAAGCTACAGAACGATGGATGAATTAAGGAAGGAAAATACCAAATTAGAATTCTAAAGCTGTTGCAAAGATTGTTTGATACCAATGTTATGATAAAAATCGGAAAAGTCCTTCAAACGAAGATCCTGCTTATACTTAACTTATCTTAACTACTGTCTATCTATCTGCAAACAGAGAGAAGAACGGCAATTGCACCTAATATGCCCATCTTCATCCTGCTGGAGGAGCATGAGAGCCCGAGTGAAAGGCGGCCTACCTTATGGCTAACTGACAATGTGGTTTTGTCAACACATTTCAGCGTTTCGCCTTGGAAACTTGAGTTTGTTGATTGCCTCAAGAAGTTTTTTCCTTCTCCCAAGGCTTTTGTTCTTGCTGTTGTTGTTGTTGTTGTTGTTGTTGTTGTATTCTGAGTATTTTGACTATAGGTTCGCGTCTCAAGGAACTCGAGGAATTCGCAAGTTTTTTAACAAGCAGCAGCAGCAACAGCAGCAGGACACCAACTGCGATGGGTAACGTAAACTTTAGAGTTCTATTTAAAACAAAAAATAAATAAATCAAAATAAAAACGAAGGAAACTCTAATTAAGTGTGACAGTGCAAAAAAGTTTTGAAAATAAACAAACTTTGCCCAAAGTGCATTTTGTGAGGTTATGTATAGATGTATATACACATATATATCAGGGCTTTATCATATAGACGCAACGCACTTTGGATTCAGCTTATTGTGCTCCCATGCAAGGACACGATGTGGCAAGTGCGGGCAATGAAGTTCCCGTAATCGCAGGACCATTACGAAAGGGTTGCCCCCAGCTCGCAAGTTGATAGATAATAAAGTGCTTACACATATATGCTTCTGTGTGCGTGTCTCTCTCTATGTGTGTGTGTTTTAGAGATGAGCGCGTGTCGAACCGTAAGTAGGAACTACACACGATTACTATGCAAATCTCATGCGTTTCGATCTGTGATTTACATATTAGTTCGACTAACTTTTGGTTTGATTTCAGTTGGCGTTCCATTGGGGTTCCATTGGGCTTCAACTGGGATTCAATTAGGGCTCAATTGGGGCTAACATTCACGTCTCGGGTAGAGCCTTATAAAGCTCTTAGTTTGTGTATCGATTCAGGCAATAAATTGAATCAGATTTCGAGTTTATTTCGATTTTCACTTGTATCTCGATTTAGGAATAGCCTCCGTTTGACTCTGCATTAACTTTTGAATCGTAAATGGGTTCGGCTGAGGTATGGAACTGATTTCAGTCTTTCATGTACTAACTAGGTTTAATAATGCTCTTATTCCATTTTTGTTTCGGACTTTATTTGATGTTCTTAGATTTTTAATTTGTGCTTGGTTTCGATTCGTTTCGATTTTATTCGAATATTTTTTAAATGAATTTGAATCATGCCTGATCTCAGGTTCTAATCTATTCAAGCATCGTTTCGGTTCAGGCTCACTTTATAATTAAGATCTTTAAACGATATGATGGAAGACATTTGAAAATTTGGATACGAAGTTCTTAGAGACTTAGTTCTAGTAATATTCCTTTCAAGCTTTGTTTCGGTTTATGATTCGTGTAAAGGCTTCAATATTCGACTCTAGTGTTACTTTGGATTTACGTTTTGAAATTTAATTCGTTTTCGGTCAAGTAAAAGTTCAGTTTTATCTTGGAGCTTAGTTAGGTTTATCTTTGATTCATGCATGGCTTCACATTTGGTTTTAGGGAATCTATTTTTGAATGTTTAATATATGGCAAGAGCTCGTTCTCATTTACTTAGACTCATTGTTCGTGTCACGCGCCAAAAACACGACTCTTCACCACCTCTAGAGCCAATATATGTAGTTGCAGTACATAGAAGTATATATTTATATACTCATATATTGTATATGTGTATGTGTCTTTGGATCTATGTACATTCAGTTGGCTTTCGGCTTGCCCCATTTTGTTTGATTGTTGTTTGGGGCAACGGCGAAATACAGAAATTACGTGGGAATTACGTGCTAGGCTGATGGCATGTCAACTGCCCCATGCTACACTGCGACTCGTCCCGCCCCGCCCAATTGGCCCATTTCGTTGCATACTTTTATGGGCCTTCGAAGATATGCACATTCATTGATATATCATGATAGATATATCTCTCTCTACATATATATGTATATGTATATGTATCTGTATGTCTCTCTATAGACTTGTTTTCGCAATTGTACGTAGCACTAATAAAATTAAAGTACCCAACAAAGCGACATGAAAAACAAACACCAAACGAAAAGAAGCTAATAGCAATTGGGCACTAAGTAAGGGGTCGAGCGAGGGGTCGACTGAGGCAGCACGTTACGCTTCAAATAGACATCTACTTTATAAACACTAAGCTGTGTGTGTGTGTATGTGTCTTTAATAGACAACTAGCTATCTGGGCCGTGCAATTGCCGTCTTCCATGTGCAAACAAACTGCATTCGCAATGGGTTAAGTTAGTTGTATTGACTACACTGAGAGAAGTATTAGTCAGCTAGACAATAAAAGTAAATAATTGGCATCTATAAAATTTGTTCGCAAACTGCTTATTTATTCCACTGAACTCTTCATCTTCAAGCCTAGTTTCCTCTAGATATACTCAACTAAATGTTCGCCTAATATATTATTGAGGTTTTTGCATTCATTCATTCTAAAGAATTCAAGAGATTTACATATGTATATCGGGTGTTATTATTTCACATACATATATTGATCAAGTGTATGGATAAATATATATATAAAAGAAGAAACACCCGATACACTTTTTAGAAGCTTGACAAATTGGTTACAAAACAATATTTCTAATATTGACCAAAGAAAATGCATTTATCTACGCCCACTCAAGGCATAGCAAGTCGCAATATATTCTACGATGCTTAGAAATGAGATTCAATTGGCGTTACAATTATACATTGTACAGCCGTTAAACTAGCATGACAAAATTGAATACTAGACTCCCTTTTGACCTGTATAACAGATAGATTCATATAGATGTGATAACTATCGAAAGATATAATAGATAGATAGATGTCCAGATACAGATAAGAGATAGATCCATATCGATAACCAGACATATATCAATGTATCCATATCATCATCATATGATATATAATAAATCRTATAAAATATTTTAAAGGAGCAATTTTT